CGCAACCTTCTGAGAAGCATCACAGTTTTTTCAACAGCAAGACTGACATTGTATTAATAAACATTACAAGTCACTAGCCTGACATGTACATAGCAGCAGCTGACAGACTCCAACATAAGCTGAGGGGAGAACAGAGGAAATCAAAATGAGACATAGTAACCAAACATGGCCAAAGGGGTTGGATCATAAAACAAATCACATTAATGTCAGAAATGTGAGCCCTAAACTTTTAAGATATATAGCAACTAAAGCAACAATCTGGTATAATTTTTGGAAACCAAAGTAAGTTGATGGCTATCTGAAATGTGTGCTTTTATTGGAGGAACAAAGTGAATCCTGGCACACTATCAGCAGACAGACATTCCAGTGAGTAAAACATACACATTTAGCTTGTCTGACCTTTAAATTCTTAGAAGTATGTAATTAATGCTTTCCATCTTTATTACTTGCTCCAATATTTCTGCCACTTTAAAGAGACAAAGAAAAATCTTTTCTTTTCTCTAGACAGTAGCTGTTGCCAAAAAGGGAATCAAGTCAGATTTACAAATACAAAATTAAACAGGCTGCATATGCTCATTTCCATACACGAGGACAATCTGGACAATGAAAATGTTTGCTAATACAACAGAATGAGAAGAAACACTACACAGTTGGTCCTCTATGACGTGAGCAAATAATAAATAACTAGGAAAATTTATACCCATACTGTCAGGCCTGGTTACAAAGAATACAGGCATCTCCCTTTTTTAAAATTCTTCATGCTATTTTAGCTCTGACCCTTACTGAACTGGATGACCTTGCGTAAGTAACTACCTGTCTGTGATCTGCAGCTTATATAGATGCTCCTTGACTTATGATGGTGTTACATCCCTATAAACCTCTCGTAAGTTGCAAACATCATAAGTTGAAAATGCATTTAAATTTTTTTTTGCATTTATTTATTGATGTTAGAGAGAGAGCAAGAGAGAGAGAGAAACATCGATTTTCTGTTCCACTTATTTATGCATTCACTGATTGTATTTTGTATGTGCCCTGGCAGGAGATCAAACGCACTATCTTGGTATCAGGAGGACACTCTAACCAACCGAGCTACCCAGCCAGGGCTGAAAATGCATTTAATGCACCTAACCTACCGAACATCTGAGCTTAGCTTAGGCTAACTCAGAACAGAATATTAAAAAAATACACGTAACACAGTATATTATAGAGTATTGGTTGTTTACTCTTGTGATCCTGTGTGAAAGTGGGAGCTCCAGTTCACTGTTGCTGCCCAATATCATGACAGGCTATCATACTGTACACCAGTAGCCTGGGAAAAGATCCGAATTCAAAATTTGAAGTATGGTTTCTACTGGATGTGTACTGAATGTGTGTTGCTTTCACACCATCATAAAGTCAAAAAAATCTTTTTAAAAAAATGTTTTTATTGGTTTCAGAGAGAGGAAGGGAGAAGGAGAGACAGAAACATCAATGATAAGAGAGAATCACCGATCGGCTGCCTTCTACATGCCCTCTACTGGGGTTCAGCCTGCAACCTGGGCATGTGCCCTGACTGGGAATTGAACTATGACCTCCTGGTTCATAGGTTGATCTCAACCACTAAGCCACACCACCCAGGTAGTCAAAAAATCTTAAGTGGAATCATCATAAACCAGGGACCCTCTGTCTATATGTTAAAAAAAAGAGGTGCTTATAAGCAATAAATCAGATAATGGCTACTGGGGTTACAGAATCGTGTGTGTGCAAAAACACTAATTTTCTTCTTTTGGTCTTCTTTTCTTTTGTTCTCTCCAGACCACAAAGCAAATCACATAAAACTAGAGAGGCTTCAAACTAATGATACCCTTTCATAACGGTCTGGTCATTTGGGTTGTACTGGAGATCAAGTCAAGAAGTTATAGTAAAACTACTCATCCTTTTGAAAACCCCTCATACAGGAAAGAGCAAGGAATCTAGGACTCGCCCCTTTAAAAGGCATCTGAGCTTCCCCTTTATGCAGAGCCAGAGATGCCAAGGCAGCCTCTGGGAGCCCTCTGGGCCACACTGCCCGAGGCAGCCCGGTTCTTGTGCTACCACCGTCTGCCCACTCAGTGGTCCCTTTCCGAAAGAGCAAAATCCTGACTGGATTCTATTTGCTCCGCAGTCTTAGTTAGAACAGTTCCTTTCCCATGTCCATCTGATATAATAAACGTTTTAAGTAAAACGTATACATATGAGGGCTGTTTAAGTGCTCTTACTGACTTCTGATCTAGGGGGATTCTGTCCATTTTATTGGTTTTGACTTTTCTTCCCTTAAAGCTCAGAGTAGCTAGCAGTCAGCAATTGAGGGACTCCTGTTTATATACTTCCTGCCCCTTTTCCACTGGGAGAAAGATGCAAGGAGGAAAGGGGGGAAATGAAGAGAAGGAACAATGGCTTCACTTATTTTGCTGGGACTTCACTCTCTGAAAGGTTGGACACAACCTTGGAGACTCCTGAAGGTCTGCTCTGCCCTGCATTTGCAGGAGAAAAATTTCTAACTTAGACTATAGGCCAGAAAGGTGAATGGGAGGTTGCTGAATCAATAAAATATACACAGGGCAAATGGTCAGTTATCTGCACTATTTCTTCAGACAACTGAGAAAAAGAAACAAAATTCAGTGACACTTTTGTTCTAAATGCTCACATATAAAGATTCTGCTTTACCTCGTGTTTTCAGAAACACTCCAGACATGTGGAATAAACTCTCCCGAACTTTAAAAATAGGAAAGGGATTGACTGGGTCTGAATGTTTGGGAGTGAAAGTGCAGGAATGGGGGGGGGGGAGTATTAAGTTTAAAGCAGTTATTGTTATTCTCTGCCTTTTCCCCACTCCCTCCATTCCCTGGAATGTGGGGTTCATAGTAAAACACTTCTATCCATTCCACTCCCAACCCTACTCTACTAAAAATCATTGATTTAAAAGCTATTGTTTTAAAAAGGACTTTCAGTTTAAAACACTACTATGATCATATGTTAACATCTATGTGTAAAAATTATGTGTTAATGAGAACAATTCTTTTATGTAATCAATAGGTAATATCAATGCAAGTGGAAAACTATTGAAATACCACTGTATACATCTTTTAAAGTAAAAAGAAAAATCTTCTAATGAAACCTTGTGATGTAAGGCTCACATTGCACTGTAAATTGACACAAAGTGAGGGTCTAGAGATGTTTCTACTCTGACCAATAATCCTACTAACAAAAAATTATCCTAAGGAAGTTATTCAACAGAAAGAAAATAGATATAAACAAGGACGATCATAGAATCACTTAAAAGCAAAACAAGAAAACAATCTAAACATCCTATGACAGGCATCCACTGCATCCATTTCTGTTGTCGTGCTCATCACATATTAATGATTTGTTTGACAACTATCTTCCCAATAGAGCATAAGCTCCATGAGCCCAGGGGTTGTCTATGTCTAGATCCTTGGCACATAATAAATGTAGGATGCAGGAATTAAGAACAGATATTGAAAAATTTGTAATATAATGTGAAGTAAAAATAACTATATATCTATATCTATCTATATATCTATATATCTATATATCTATATATATATACATGCTAGAACTGAAACTCTGTATGTATATACACATAAAAATGACTGTACAAAAATGAAAGTAGTTATATTAGGATGAGGAATCATTAGATAGCTTTTAAATTACTTTAAATATTCTTTAAGGTTGTTGTTTTAGTGCCTCTGAAAAGTAAAAAGAAGGAACATATTTGCTGTTATATACACTCAACATGACTTCATCGTAGAAATGAAATGGCAATTATAAAAGCTTGAAGCGTCACCCCAGCTCACCCACAGGAACCCAGGTATCCATTTTTTGCTCAAGGATAGAAAGACACAAAATACTCATATATCATAGCTAGCATAACCCTATTTTTAGTAAAATCCTGAAACAAAGGCAATATGTTTTAAAGAGACAGGTAGAAAAGTCCTCTAAAGCACTCTTTTGAAGAGTGAATTTGCTGGTTACTAACAGCAGGGGGTGCCAAAGGGATCGCTATTGTTCCCAGGAGATGGCCAGGAGGACTGTCGCCACCTTGGCTAAAAAGCTTAAGCTGCGCTGAGAAAATACTGCTGGTTTTCCCCTAACAATGGGGACCTATGGGTAAAACTCAGGTGCTCTGTAGACTTGAATGAATAAAAATTACATTCTTATTTTCACTAGCTATTTAGCATTTTCTTGAATTATAGTCAACAAATCACAATGTTTTCAGCAGTGCTGGTGAGTTGTCATGAACAGAAATCATAGATATAATGATAGCACATTCCAGTTGGTGCAGATGTCTCCAATATCACAATCACTCCCTTTGAAACCAAATTTCAGGAGTTACCAGATCTTGTTACTCAATGTATTAACAACACCATACATATTATTATTCTATCACAAATTTAACAGTTTGATAACTAAATACAAGAAATCCTTGTGTAGTCATGTGAATGTTATTTTCTGCATTTACACACACTTTTCTGAGAAGGGCTTTTATAGGCTTTACCAGACTGCCAAAGGCACAGGCAGGCAGGGTAAGAACCTCTGCTCAGCCTAAAGGAAGGCAACCAAAAGAAATCATCAAAATGGATCTGAACAAAGTTGGCAAGAAAAGGGAGTATGTGAAGTCACAAGAGAGAAGTGGCTGTGATGCACATTTTCATTCAATTTGAAGAGAATTTTTGCCTCACAGGCTCCAAAGTGCCCCAATCTGTCCAGAGGCCTAGTTCATGGGTGGGACATTCAGAGATCGACTTAATACAATTTGCTACTACTAAGCAGTCTGTATTTAATATAGGTGCAGAGGCATGAAATACAATGTGAATGTTGTCCCCAGCATCTCTCTGGAAGTAATAATTACCTGTGGACTCTCCAGATACCAAATATTCATTTAATGAACAAAATCAAATCCAGAATTACACCAAAGGCAGAGATGAGATACTGAGATAAGCAACAGAGTCAATACTCACATTCGAACAAAGAGTGACTCTTTGGATGTCAGACCAGGAGATGAATACTTTTCAACCAGGGCCAACGTACTGAAGCCAAACTTATGAATGGGCTCATTGGAATCCAGCGGGGGGAAATCTGTGTCAACCTCCCCATCATCCTCAGCAATATGCAGGCAGTAGGCACTGACATTGTCGCTGAAAGGCAAACCAAAAAGGTGAGTGAAAACCAAGCTAAAAAAGGAACTCGGCGACCAGAGGCCCTGATGTACAGCAAGCAAACTGGGGAAACTGCTGTCCTTTACCCCGAAGCCTGCAGTTATATTCAGATCCCCCAAATCCCACTTCATTTGATAAGGAGAAAATACATGGCAGTGCAAAGGGGGGAAAACCAATGTGAAACAAGAGCCTTTACACTCTCTGTTCTTCCAACAAATACTTACTGAGCACTTGTTATAAATAAGACACAGAACCCTTAGATCAAAGATGGTTAGCAACAGTCCTCAAAGCTTACAAT